CCCTCTGTTCAGAGAGGTGTCCCATCTGAGATACGCCCATCACTGTACTTCAATCGTTATTATTATTTCCCTTTTTTCTGCAGTGTTGGCGATGGATGGAATGTGGGGCTTGTTTTGCTGCAGCTGTAGTGGTGGCGGGTGATGAAAGGCGAACCACAAAACTCAACAGACCCACATGGAGTTTATTGGGAAAGGGAGCGTGCAGGGAGGGGTAGGTGTTGGCCAAACCAGGAACAGAGATGGAAGGGGGAAGGGAAGAGAAAAGAGGTAAATAGACAGAGAGAGAGAGAGAGAGAGAGAGGAAAGGAGAGAAGAGGGAGACAGGAAAAGTTCTGTCTGTCCTAGGGGGACAGCAGGAAAGAGAGGAGAGCAGGAATGAAAGAGCAGAAAGAGATGAGCGAGCAGAAAAACCATTAAGTGGGCGGGGCCTTTCTCTTACGGAGGTCCTTTGCTCCTCCGTGGAATCCTGGGCTGACCAGGGTACTGCCTGAGTGTATTCTGCCAGGTGACAGGGGCAGGCCAGCGTAATGCCTGAATCCTTACATACACGAGGCCAGTGCTTTGGAACTAAGCCATACCTCAACTCCTTGGTTACTTCAGCATCCAGAGAAAATTTTATCAACAGTGATGATCAGCTTGCACAATCCATTTGTTCAGAGTGACATGCTTTGACGTTTGGTGTCTATGTCCCAGTTGTGAGGATGCATTATCATCTCCTAAAATACAAAGGTGCCCTTTTCCATCTGTGTGTGTGTGTGTGTGTGTGTGTGAAACTGGCTTTTCATAGTAATGAAAAAAAAAGCTTGAGTTTGGAGTTGGATCTTGGAGCCCATGAGAATCCCAGATGGTATCACGAAGCCGCAGTAGTGAGTGGTAGCTTGGTTACACTCTGAGTGCTGTGTGTGAAGGTCTGTGGGCTGCCTGTGAGCTGACTGACCTCTGCCTGTGTTGTCAGGGCTGTCCCACGGCTTCCTCTCCTCTGTCTTCCTTACTGGTTCCTGTTGTAACCGTACTAATGCACGGGGACTACAAGCGAAAGAGGCAGCAGGTGGCTGGGATGGAGGTCCTTAAGCTCCGCCCCCCTCGCCATCTTCACCATTCTTAATACAGCACACGTCCTCACCTCCAGAAAGGAACTGCTCATACGTGCTAACCGCTGCCATTCCTGGTCCACTCTGCAGGCTGCCACCTGTACATTGCTGGGTTTGCTGTGTTAGACCCATTGTGACCCTGGGTGATGGGGAAACAGGCACTCCACTACTCACAGAAAGGGTCAGCGAGGAACCACACCATTGCACAGCACTCCCTGTGTCCTCGCCACATCCTGCTGTGGCACAGCTGTGTCCTGGGCAGCACTGTCAGAACTGGTCACACCAGTGAGTCGACAGGTGCTGTAGCTAGTGGCTCTTGCCCTGCTTTCCCCGCGCTGTGGCTGGTGGCTCTCGCCCTGCTTTCCCCGCGCTGTGGCTCTGGCCCTGCTTCCCCCGGCGCTGTGGCTCTGGTCCTGCTTTCCCCGCGCTGTGGCTGGGTGTCCTGCTTTCCCCGCGCTGTGGCTCTGGTCCTGCTTTCCCCGCGCTGTGGCTGGGTGTCCTGCTTTCCCCGGCGCTGTGGCTCTCGCCCTGCTTTCCCCGGCGCTGTGGCTCTGGCCCTGCTTTCCCCAGCACTGTGGCTCTGGCCCTGCTTCCCCCGGCTAGCCCACACACGGATCAGAGTCTACTTTGCAGCCTGGCTCTTCTGAGACTCTTTCTTCTCTGCAGCCCAGCCCCGTTTCTCTCAGAGGGACAGCTTTTATTTATTAATTAATTAATTTATTTTTGTTTAATCTGACAGAGAGGGGCCGAACGAATGGGATCAGTTTCAAGGACTTCCTGTTTCAGGGCCTTCCTGGAGCTATTTTAAGTTCCTGCTGCTCCGGGGCCGAACGGAATGTTTCTTCGATCTCAGAGGGGACTCTTACACAACAGCTCCTGTCCTTGTCACTTCTTGTCACTTGCCCTGAAGATGGGCGTCATTCCTGATAAGTGGCCTTGAAGATGAGTCCCTGTACTCGTTGCTTACCCTGCAGGTGGGGTCTCTATGCAGGTCATGGTTCTGCAGAAATGTCCTTTTCTGGGCCATTGGCCTCTGGATGGGTCCTTGACTGGTCACTGACCTGTGAGCGTCTCTGACCTGCACTAACTCTGTAAGTGGGTCCTGTCCTGGTCACACCGACCCTATAGATGAGATCCTGTCCTCCAGGTCACTGACTGTGTGTGTGTGTGTGTGTGTGTGTGTGTGTGTGTGTGTGTGTGTGAAAATACAAGCGTGTGTTTCTGTGCTCGGCTGTGGCGATTATGCATGCATTGTATGGTGTGTGAGAGCATGTTTGTTCACACTGAACACACGCATGCTGCATCATCCATTGCTCTGAGTATCATCTACATCTCCTGACAAGAGGGTAGGATCCTCCTGGGTTCTTTGCTGGTCCTTGGTGCATCCCAGCCATCCAGGGCATCTTCAGCCCCCAGTCAGAGCTGCAGCACCTCTGATATATATCTGACTGGTTTAGAAATCTGGCTGGAGGCGTGTGACCACGAGGGGTCGCTGTTGCCGCTTCTTCCTCACTTGACACTTGGGTGGCCACATTTTGGAGGTCGATGGCGAACGAAGGGCTAGTTTTTAAAAGGCACCTGCTGGACTCTGTCGGTGGCTGGGTTAGACCCTGGTTCTGAGTCTAGGGGCAGAGTTTCCCAGTAGAGTGTTCTGCAGCAGTGTCTTGGTGCCGGGTTAGCTCTCCGTAGAGCTGGGCATCGTGGATTTCCCACCACACTCCCGGGGGAATGTTCAGAGATGGCCGCTGTCTCCTCCTGAGCAAGGACACATCATCTTTTACTGGGCACAGCATTTCTCCAGCCTGAATGCACACCGTAGGCCATTGCTTTGGACCATGGGAAGAAACAGGTAGGGTCCCTTTCCCAAGCCCGGTGGAAGCCGCTTGTGCGTGGCCACAATTCTGCTTATGCTTTTGCAGGGTTCTTGACCTTTACATAACGATATCAACACAACCTCCATCGACACCTTTGCAAAGACTGCAATTTGACTCTTTTCCTGCCTCCTCTCCCTTAAGAATCAAGGATGCAGCTCTGAGGTCAAACGATTCTTTGTATATTCCACTTACCTTACAGAAAACTGGACAGGCTCACACCCTTGCCGCGAGGATTCGGCCACATTGTTTCCCCTGCTTTGAAATCCAGAAACACCAGAAGAAGATGTGGTATTAATCCCCAAGATCTTCCTGAAGAGCTAAGCCAAGGAGGGTGACAAGTCATGTGAGAGATAAAACAGGCAGAGGTATTGGAAAGAGGAGAAAAGGAGATGAAAGCACTGTAGAAGTAAGGAACACATTTAGCTCTGGGAACTGCTGGCCATCACGATGCACGCGATGAAGATAGGCCCACCTCCTACCGTGAGCCTCCTTCAGCCCGGGGACGGGGGCTGACCCATCATTCACACAGAGGCAGGAAGATGCCCCAATCCTGAGGACTGCTCCAGGGGTCTCCATATTAGATCATGTGGGACCATATTCTCATCAGATGCACAGTGAGGCCTGCGTGTCTCTCCCTTAGGAGGTCCTCTCCACTCAGGTCTGAGGCTGTCTGTGTAGAGATGCTGGAACCCAGGCCAGCTTGTTTGCTTACTTCTTGGGAGTTTGCCTTGTATGTTTCCGAGCTGTTCTCCGAGAGAGCATGCAGCCACTGGGAGCGGAAAGACTGGCATCTGTGTAAACCCTTGGCATCCACCATGTGTGCGCCTTCTTTGTGAAAGAAGCTGGGAATGGGTGTGGTCGGGGAAGCAAACCAGTTCTCCGAGCTTAAGCAGAGTTGGAAAATGGGGTTCAGGCATAGGGAGTGTGTGTGTGTGTGTGTATGTGTGTGTGTATGCACACATGCATGTGTGAATGCTTGTATTTGAGTGTGTATGAATTGAGTCTGAGCTTTGTGTGTTTGTGTGTGTGCATGCACACACGTATGTGTGAATGCTTGTATATGAGTGTGTATGAATTGAGTCTGAGCTGTGTGTGTGTGAATGCTGCATACAGAAACGTGTGAAGCTGCATGCCTGTGTGGTGCATGCATGTTTGTGTGCATGAGTGCATTGTGGAGACAGAGGCCACATACAATGCCACAGTTGAGAAGAGAATGGCGGAATGAGAAGTTGGCTCAGAAGTTGGACTGACCCTCAGGGCCCTGCCCAAGTCTGTGTGGGCATTTAGGGGACCGTGATGTTAGGAGTAAACGTGACTTTTGCCTTTAGGGGTTGTACTCTACGGGGGCCTTGTTACAACAAGCAAATGTGCAAAATAAATCTCTTTACACCATCCTATTGAAATGCCAGGGAAAGTATGTATTTCTTCCTTCTGAGTGGGAGAAACTGACCTTTCACCTCTAGACTCCTATTGGCAAAGGTGTCTCTAAGCAAACTTGTCACTTCCAGCTGCCCCGATGTCAGTGGGCTGGTGGCAGCCCCCTCCCCTCTCTCTCCTCCATGTTCCAGCACGGTCCACTCGACTTGCGGACAGCGGGAGTCTGTTTTCTGTCCCTCGTGGTGGGACAGAAAACCGGGGCCACCCTAAGCTGAATTCCAGAGCATCACCCCAACGGCGGGGCCAGTGATTATTATTTTCCCACCGTCCACAGAGGCTGGGTCAACTCCCCTGGGACTATGTGGGCGCTGCGGCAGGGAGCTGCGGAGGGGCATCATGGAGGATCAATGATAGAGGGTCAGTGTGGCAATGACAGCGTCCCAGCAGTGCAGCAGGCGGTGTGGCAGAGCCAGTGTGGAGGGAAGGGATGCAGATTTTGCTCTAATTCCAGGCCTGTGGCCTTCTCTGTACAGCGAGCAGGACACATTGTCCTCTGCATCTTTTTTTTTTCCGAGACAGGGTTTCTCTGTATTGCTTTGGAGCCTGTCCTGGAACTCGCTCTGTAGACCAGACTGGTCTCGAACTCACAGAGATCTGCTGGGATACAAGGCGTGCATGCCACCAACGCCGGGCGTGTCCTCTGGATCTTTAGGTTGACAAAGAGGCTTCAACATCTCCAGATGCTTGCTATCCTTCAGCTTCCTTTCTGTCAGTCACAGCGCTGTGTCCACAGGAAGCAGATGTGTAATTTCAGAACAGCTCTGCCAGTCACAGGGCTCTGAGGCCAGCAGATACGTCTTGCATCAGGACGGTGGTGGGCAAATGTGTTTCTTTTAATTAAACTTGTTGCAGCTGAAAGGCTTTCTTCAGCTACACTCGAGGAAGAGACTTTTGTGAACAAAAGAGTAACCTTTCCCTCCCATGACCCCCGGGGTCTGCAGGTGGCCACCTTGTGTGGAAAGCGCTAGCCCCTGAATGATTCCTTTATGTGAGCCGAAGAAGGTAATTGCAATGTGTGACAACCCCACCCTGGAAAGTTCATCTCAAACTGGACTATTTGCTTTAAAAAAGAGAGAGAGAGTAATTTGAGGTCCAAATTAATTAGAAGGTGTGGCTTGAAGATGTGACAGCAGCCTGTCACGACAGACAAACACAGCACTTGTCGGTGAGGCCCTCATCTCACAGGAATCTCTTCCTGTCCCTTAAGGCATCATTGGGGAGCACAGCCATCACTTGTGCAAGGAGCACCTTCCAATCAATCCTCATGGCCTCAGTGATTTAACGATCATACTCCCAGGGTGCACGGCACTTCACTCGGTCAATCCCAAATGTGGTCGCCACTTTGCAGTCAGTTGTCCGAGAAGCGGGTTTCACATAAAAGAAAAGAAAAGAAAAGTGAATTGCAAAGGCAGAGAATGGAGTTCATGGGTAGAATGTTTGCCTAGCACGCACGAGGAGGCCCTAGGTTCCATCCCCGGGCCTGGAGTGGCGTGTGGATTACAAAGAGATGGCCTGCTTGAAAGCAGGAAAAGCACAGTTGCCTAACTCACTGCGCCAGTCCCTCAGTCCCCACGCTTGCCTCTTGCATTTTCTGCAGTGGCGCCCCCTTCCCTGCACTTCTGAGTTCCTGCGCTGTGTCCTCTGAGCTGTGCTCTCTGTCACCCCATCAGCCAACTGAACCTTGCAAGCACGAGGGTGAGGGTGGGGTGCGCCTTCCTGACCTCAGCAGGTGGAATGTCAAGCTCTCCTTTTGCCTTCCTGTCCCCATAGATGGAGTGTTTGGAAGATGCCAGAAGGTCCCAGCGATGGACACATACCGATACGAGGTGTCGCCGGGAGCCTTGCTGCACCTGAGGGCCACCTTACAGAAGCTGTCCCGTACAGGTAGGCGGGGAGAGGCCACCCCTGCCTTGATCAAGGCCTGGGTAATTTTGGGAGCCCGCACCAGGCAAGGCTTTTGCATGGGTGTGTGGCCTCCGGTGAAGAGTTCTGATCTTCGTGTGTGCAGGAATTACAGAGGTCCCTGTGACTCATACTGAGGTACGTCGAGGCTGCTTTTGGCCGAGACTGGCCTGTCACAGTGGTCGGGTCAGTCCTTCATGTCAGCCCGAGAGTTGGACATAGTCCCATTGCATCTACTGTGCTGTTTCAAGTGAGTCCTGTCATTGTACTAGTTTCTAGGCTCCTAAGAAGGCAAGGTTTAAATTTAAAATAACATTTTAATAGCTGCAACACACACATCTCAAGTGTGATTTTATTGTATCTGTGTATAGTTTTTAAACCGAGGGGAGCCATACCACAAACGCCAGTGTTTTTACAACCTGCTACTTAGATAAATTCATATTTCATCTAGCCCTGGATGAGAGGGGCCGTGTCCTAAGAACAAGAGTTACCCATCACGCCAGGGGGCAGTACACGAGAGACTCAGTGACCCTGGATGCTGGGACAAAGGCGTGTTCTCCTCAAGGCCGCACACACTCCCCCTGGAGACTACAGTGCTCTCATTGTGATCACAGAGCTCTCTTTGGGACCTCAGTGCTTCCTGCGAGTCACATTTCTCCCCTGGGGGGAGCCAAAGTATTTTTCTAAGGATCACACTTGTTCCCCGGGAAGACTTGGAGGTACACTCCCCTTTCAGAAACCGACAGGTGTTCTTGCTCATCAGAGGTCCTGAAGCGTTCCGTGGACTAGTCTAGGTTAACTCATGGACAGGTCTTTAGACCAGTTGAAATGAAGTAAAGCCCTTCCTTCCTCCACATGGGCTCACCCGTCTGTGTTCCTTTCTGCGCCGCCCGTCACGCACTCTCTTAATCTTCAGTGGGGACCCGTTGCCATGGTTCCCTGTGCTGGACAACATCCATCTCTACTGACCCTCCCTGTATCACCCAAGCTGGTTGTCACTGCTTATGCAGAAGCTGCCACTTCCTGGTCAGTGTCCCGAAACGATATCCTAATAAAGGGAAAGGAAAATGGTTAGGGGCGGTGAGATCAGAGAATGAGGGTGCTCCGCAGCCAGACGGCTCTGACGCAGGCCCATGAAGCTGTGCTGATGCCCGTGTTGTAGAGAAGCGGTCAGGTCCCTTTGATCGTCTCCAGAGGAACAGCAAGTCAACTAACGCAGCGGATGACAGGGGAATGCTGGGAATCTATACCCACTGGCAGCTGTACCACTTCACCGTCTAACTGAGTTTCCCACACCCCAACATCCACCCGTGTTCCGCACAGGGGTGTGATGGGGAGCCACCTCCCTTTGATAGCGGTCATGGCTGTGTCCCCCGGGGAAAGGTGGTTTTGCCTGTGGTTATTTTAGGAAGAGGTGGTTCCAGTGGCTCCTACCAGCACTTGCGGTCGAGAAAACCCTCGCACCGGTCAGCTTCCAGGAGAGTGAGCACGAGAGAGGGTTTATTTTGCCTCGTGGTCCTGGAAAAGCACAGTCTTTCACCATGGGGGCGGGGTGGGGCGAGCATAGCAACATCCAGGACGCCGGAAATTGGACTGGTCATGCTTTCTTGTTCGCACAGTAAACAAATGGGGTGGGGGGGAGGGGGCGTGCGTGTGAGGCTACAAGACTTCCACCCACCCGCGCAGTGGTGTCCTTTCTTCAGGAGGTCTCTGCCTCCTGAAGGTTCTGTAGCCTCCCCAGACAACACCAACAGCCAGGGCGGGGGGGGGGGGACCACCAAGCGTTCAAATACACGGACCTATGGCGGCCATTTCCCATTCAAACCATTATGCCCCTCCCCTTCCCCGTCACTACCCTCTGGGTTGGAGGGTGCAGAGGTGGCCCGTGTCCCTCCCATCCCCCACCATTACCATCTGGGTGGGTTGGGGGGTGCAGAGGTAACATACCCTCCTGCCTCTGCCCTCCCACTGTCTTCTGGCTTTGCATACACTTCAGAATTAGTGGGTTACTGCCTAAAGTCCACAGTTTACATATGCCGATCCCTTTCAGGCTGTGCCCATCTTGTGGGTTCAAGGCACATAAAGCCCTGCATCCTCACTACGGTGTCACAACGCCCGGGGTCTGTTGCCTTCAGAAACCTCCGTCTCCTGGCCTGTTTTTCCACTAATGCCAAATGATGTCATGTCTACCCCATTAACGAGAGAAGCTGCCACTGTTTGAAGGATACCCCCCAACAGGGCCAAACCTTTTGACCTTTACCCCAACCCTACAGAAGGGTGTGTGAGGCAGGTCGTTGGACCCTAGTCTCTGTTCCAGCCACCCTTTCCGTCTGTGCCTGTCTTTCATACGTATGTAATCCTGCCTCGTCTTCAAGTGGTCTTTGGGTGTGCCATAAAGGGTTAACTAAAGGGGGAATTTACATACATAGCTTTGGGAGGCTGCCATAAATGCCATGGGGGGGCTTCTGGGGATGCATTTTTGGGGTCAGCCATGATTACACCTGTAACCGCCCCTCACCCACGCCCTCGTAAGAAAGCCTAGTAAACTCACTGATTCTTCACAGAAAGAATTTGTTGAATAAGGGAGGAATTACCAGCGAAAGTCATGCAAGGGGAAGGTGGGGATTCTCCATGTCAGCTTCTCATTTGATAGGTAAATCGGATAAAGATGAAGATGAGATTGACTTAGTTAGGGTTACTATTGCTGTGATGAAACATCATGACCAAAAAACCAAGCTGGAGAGGAAAAAGTTTATTCAGCTTACAATCCTACATTACAGTTCATCATCAGAGGAAGTCAGGATAGGAACTCAAGCAGGTCTGGAACCTGGAGGCAGCAGGTAATGCAGAGGCCATGCTTACAGGCTTGTTCCTCATGACTTGCTCACCCTGGTTTCTTACAGAACCCTCGGCCAATGCCCAGGGGTGGTCACACCCACAGTGGGCTTGGTTCTCCCCCTTCAATTACTAATTAAAAAAATACCCCTCAGGCTTGCCTATAGCCTGATCTTACTGAGGCAGTTTTTCAGTTAAGGCTCCATCCTCTCCAGTGACTAGCTTGTGTCAAGTGGACATAAAACTGGTCAGCACAGGACTCAAGCCCTGGCTCACCATTTCTTTTTCTGTTTTCTTTTTTCTTTTTTTTTTTTGGTTTTACGAGACAGGGTTTCTCTGTATTGTTTTGGAGGCTGTCGGTCCAGCCTGGCCTCGAACTCACAGAGATCCGCCTGCCTCTGCCTCCCGAGTGCTGGGATTAAAGGCGTGCGCCACCACCGCCCGGCCTGGCTCACCATTTCTAACGACCGGAGGGAAGAGCAGAGAGTACAAAACACATCGGTGCTAAACAGCCCCTTCTGTTATCCAAAAACTTGGTGCCATGGAGAGAATTGAACAGGGAGAAGGGAGAAAATGAGGTAGGAATGAGCGAAGGGACTGGTCATGAGGGAGGTGTGTGACTCACGGCTTTGGAGGCTGGCTCTGCCTGCTTCTCAGTCACGAGAGCCCAGCCAAAGCTCTCAGCCTGGTTGGAGTTGCCTTTGACCAGGAACTACATTCAAGCCTCCCCTGCCCACCCTCTCCGGAATGCCAGTGCTCTGCACCGTGGCAGACATTTTTTAAATTAGTTTTCTTTTCGTTTTTATTTAGTGTGAAAAAGGCTGTTGGAAGTGTTCTGCTGTACAGCAGTTCTTCTTTTATTCTTTGTAAATTTCATTTTACATTCCAACCACAGTTCTGGCCTTATTCTTCCTTATTAATTGCTGGCCTTAGCATGACCTATTTATAGTCAGCGTTTCTTAATTTAAATTATCCCGTTTCACTTTACCTTCCTTTTGCCTGTGGGCTTTTATCTTTCTCTATTCTTTATACCTTCCTTTACTTCTTACTCCGTGGCTGGCTGTGTAGCTGGGTGGCTGGCCCCTGGCATCCCCTCTCCCCCTCCTTTTCTCGCTCCTCAATCTCCTCTTCCCAAATCTCTCCTCCAATTTATTCTCTCTGCCTGTCGGCCCTGCCCATCCTTTCTCCTGCCTAACCATTGGCCACTCAGCTCTTTATCAGATCAATCAGGTGTTTTAGGCAGGCAAAGTAACACAGCCTCACAGAGTTAAACAAATGTAGCGTAAAAGATGGGATACACGAATGATTCACGGCATAAACAAATGTAGCACATCTCTAATATTACACGACAGCTCTCATCTGATAAGGCCAGCAGTATACCTTTGCAGCTTTGCCTCAAGGCTGTGTTAATTCTCCAGTCCTGTGTGGATAACTTAGTTCCAGAGTGTAAGCAAACCCTCGAGTCACAGGAGTAGCTATGCCTCTCCCCCTTGAGGACCTCTAACTGTCAGGTTCCACCCACAGAATACTCTAACTGCACTTGGAAGTTTTTCTCTGTCTCGCCCCCCCCCCATCCCACCAAACTGGATTCTCTCCCACCCTCCGGGTCCCTGCATCCATTTATGAAATAACACTCTGAGGCTTAATTCGAAACATAATTGTTTGGCCAATGGCTCAGGCATATTACTGACTAGCTCTCTCTTATAAATTAACCCATTTTCTGTACTAACCTGTGCATTGCCCAAAAGGCTGTGGCTCACTGGTAATGCTCCGGCATGTGACTCCTTTGGAGGCTACATAGCATCATGGTGTCTCCCTGACCCCGCCTTCCTTCTCTCTGCATCCTTGTTTGGATATCCCATCTAGCTATATTTTGCCAGGCCAATCGGCCAAAGCAGCTTTATTCATCAACCAATAAAGCAATGCATATTTACAGCATACAGAAGGACATCCTATGTCATTCACCCTCCTTTTATTAATATTATTATTATCAGCCTCAATAGATCTCTTGTGTGAGGCTTGTTTGTTTGGTGTGATTTTGTGCTTTTCCTTGGCCCCCAGCTGCCAGGATAGCTTTCCACCTCAGCCGTAACTTTTACAGAAGGATCGTTGATCATCTGTTTCTCCCACAGAAATGTTAACACTGGCCCACACTAAGTGAGCAGGAGATAGCAGCCACTTTGGGCTTGTTGATAACATATATGTGTGAATCAAAAGATGGCAAATAAATCCAACCAAAAATCCAAGGACCTTCTACCGCAATGAAATTTCTAGGCAACCTGTGGTATGTTTTTTTTCACGCCGTCCCTTGAGACGAGAGAGAGCATCCCTTCAAGAGCGAACAGATGGGGCTTGCTAAGCTGGTGGCTTTTGCACAGGAGAGTGAACCTGTCTTTCTGTAGGAATGGATGTTGCCTCGAGACTCCCCCTCCTTGACCCACATTTTTCCAGACTGTAAGTACACGTGGATTTTACTGCCATTCCTCCCGGCTAGGACAGGGAGCCATCATGGTCTCTTCGACCAGCTGGCAGCATGTTCATGTGAGCCCAGTTCATGAAAAGCAAGTTCCACGTTAAAGGAAAAAGGGGGAGTGTGAGAGAGTTTGGGAAAGAGGGATTTTGACATGGGAGGTCAATGCAGTATGGAATATAATATGTTTATTTACCAGAGTAAGAACTTACACACAAGCTGGGCAGTCAGAAGCGTGGCAGCCTTCTGAAAGAGGAGAAGAGGAAAAGAGAGTTTCGTTTTCTCTTTCACTTCCTTTTATCCTAACCTGTGCTGAATTTCCCTATCTCTGCCCCTTTTGGGCGGATAGCTTTGTGGGGCTCACCCCTACAGGTTCTGACCTGGTCCAAGCTGGAATCCCACCTCCCTATACTTTCTCAGTTTTTTGAAGCTCTGCCAAGCCTCCGTGCCCTGAATGCCACCCCGCTTTTTCTGACGTCTCCTATCACGTAGGTACACTTAAAGCTAACGTCAGAGAAGAGGTCGAGGAGTACCTGTCACTGTGGCACAGGTGGGCATATGGGAAGCACGGTGGCCGTAGAAGCCGGGCCTGTACTGGAGAAACATGAAATGATGGGGCATCAAGGGAAAGACACTGGGCGAACCCAGACCCGGTAACTGGGAAACCCCTGCTGTGAAGCTTTTCTGGTGATGATGTTGAGTTTCCAGCAAGCAGCCGGGATGGGCTTGAGGAGGAGCCCTTCAGGTCACTGTGGTTCCTCCATGTCCCCTCCACTGGGTCCCAGGCTGCAGATCGCAGGCTGCAGGGAGACGCCACATGCTGCGCTGCTGGCACTCAGAGGTAGCAGGACTGGGAGGGGATGTGCAGTAAGGGGAAGTCCTAGCATGCTGAGCCGATACAACTCTAGAAAGCTAGGAGTGTGGTCCGATTTTGTTTCAGATGACTTTGTCTCCAGGATCCCTTAGCACTTGGCACCCCGCCCCACCCCTAAGTAGCAGCGTGCGCGCGCATACACACACATGTACGCACACCCCAAACACACGCCTAGAATCCACCCTTCACGTGGGTGCCGTGCGTATGTGCATGCATGTGCACACTCATGCTCACAGCTACACATATGAAACACACAGCACACGTGCACATGCCTGTGCACGCAGGTGTCCCGTACGTACCACACACTCCTACATGGTTAC